TCTGAGAGAGCCCAGGGCCAGCGACATAAAAGTGAGTGAACTGGACCCAACTTCTGATCCCAAACTTGTCCTCTTCTCACGCCATCTCCTCCTCCTCTGGACTTCTCTGCCTGTCAAAGAATCATCACTATCTTCCCAGGCACGTAGACTCAAAACCTCGGCCATGGCTGCAGGCCTGGAATTCAGGACTTGAGTCTGGAAGACCTGGTGGAGCTCATACCCTAACACTTGTTACCTGTGGGATCACGTGTAGGTCATTTGATCTTGGTAAGTCTCCATTTCCTTTGTGAAATTAATTGATAAGCATTGTACTAAGAACTGGGGAAACAAAGGTAAAAACGAAACAGTGCCTTCCCTCAAGGACCTTCCACTCCATGAGGGAGACATACACACATAGAGGCATATTCCAGATAAATATGAGGCAGGTCAGGGAGGGGCAGAGAAGGGGTACTAGCAGGCGCGGCAGCAGGGAGAATCCCCAGAGGACTGACCTCCCACAGCTGTCTGGGGCTCGGATGAGAAGGCCAGGGAACAGCATCCAGGGCTGGGCTGGGGCGCCCTAGCGCACCAAGCCAGGGGCCTGGCATCGCAAAGACCTGACCCCAAATGCAGCTCGGCTTCTTACCGGCTAGGCGACCCTGGGCAAGTCAATCTCCTCGGCCTGCCTCTGCTTCCTTGACTACAAAACCAGCTGCCAAGGTTCTTAGGAGAGCCAAAGGAGAGGATGCGTGTGCAGCCCTCTGCAAACCTTAGAGTGCTGTGTAAAACTGCTAGGTGTCAGTTCTAAGAATCATGACTATTCAAAGGAGAGTCTACTCTTCAAAACTCCTCGGATGCTTAACTCTAAAGTTTTCTCACTTGGGGGGGGGAGGGGAAATAAACCATAAACGGAGAAGAGCTCCTTCTTCCAGCACCCTGTTTCTATCAAAAACGTGAAAGACTCACAGAATTTGGAAGGCCCTCAGGGGCCGCAGGCCAATCCACTCCCCAAAAGGAATTGCCACTGCAACATTTCGGCCAAGCGGTTAACCAGCCCCTGCCTGAAGAACTCCACAGAGGATTCAGAGAATCAGAGCTCCGGGCAAGAAGGGATGGGAGAGCCCACCTCTCCAGGGCAAACGAGGACACAGAGGTGCAGAAGCATGAAGTGGTTTACCCAAGATGACATAGGCACCAACGGCCGAGCGAGGAGTCACCCTCAGGGGTCCTCACACTCGGAGAGGCTGGGAAGCTGAGAGGATCCAAGACATAAAAGGAAGATACTCAAATCGACAAGACTGAAAGCTGCTCCCTAACAGACAAATGTCGCTGAAGGACGTAAACAGGCAGTCACCAAAGGAAGAAATTCAGGCTATCCACAACCATTTGAAGGGGAAAAAAACCCCCACCAAAAACCACATGCTCCAAATCACTGATAAAGAAAGACACGCAAATTCTAGCAGCTCTCAGGTCCCACCTCATACCTGTCAGTTCAGCAAAGATGACAAAAGAGGAAAACGACAAATGCCAGAGGGGCCGTGGGATGACGGGCACACTGACACACGGCTGGTGTAGTGGAGAACCGCCCATTCTGGGAGCAATCTGGATCCGTGCCTAACAAGTTACCAAACTGGACGGCTCCTTTGACTCAGTGACCCAGACACTAGGCCTGCCCCCAAAGAGATCAAAGAAAGGAGAGAAAAGATCCGGAAGTGCACAATTGGTTATAGCAAGTCTCTCTTTTGCAGTACTGACACTGCACACTAAGAGGGTGCCCACCTATGGGGGAAGGTCTAGACAAACTGGCGGACAGAGGAAAGGAACGGCACCACACCGTGAGAAATGAAGAAACGCTCAGTTTCAGGGGAAACTGAGAAGATCTGTGTGAACGGAGGCAAAGTGAGCAGAACCATTGACACGATGACATTACATAGGAAAACCACTCTGAATGACCTCAAAACTCTATTCAGAGCAATGACAGTGGCAGAGGCCCCAGGACGAAGCACAACACACCTCGGCAGAGATGATGGATTTAAACTGCAGAAGGAGACAGACATCCACTTCCAGGGATGGCCAGCGAGGGAATCGGCTTTGTTAGACAACGCACATTTGTTACAAGGGTTTTGGTTTTGGTCTTCTTAAAAAAACTGCTCAATTGGGGAGACAGTGGGAAGGAGAGATAACTGCTTGTAAATAATTAATTAGTTAATTTTTCTGAAAAAGAAAAAGGTGGAAAGCACCCATCTAGTCCAGCCTCGACCTGAAGCATGAACTCCCTTCTCCAGCCCTTCCCACAGGCCATCCCATAACCTCTGCTTGAAGACATCCAGCAACATGGAACTCCCCTCCTCCCCACACAGAGAGATCGCCTTCCTCACCCTGAGCAGCAATCTGCCTCTCTGTGTCTTGCCCCTACAAAAGCTGAGTCTGCCCCATCCTGGTCTTGGCGTGGGGAGTCCTCCGTGTCAGTCCCGGCTCTGACATTTACTAGCTGGGGGTCATGTTCCTTCTGGGAACGCCCATTTCCTCATTTGTAAAACTGAGATAACCCGGGGACTCTCCCCTTCACTGGGCACTGTCCTTTAAAGACCAGAGCTTCCTACTGGTGAGACTGTTGCCCTTTGGGCCCAAGCAGAGGTTTGTCTGGTCCTGCCCCAGGGTTAAAAATCAAAACAACTGCATTTAGCAGCCACTACACACTGAGGGCCAGAGTGGGGAGGATGCTTGGTTTATAAAGAAAAGGTCTTAGAATTTACAGTCCTGTCATGGGGATCAGAATGCACACTTACAGCTAAAAATACACCCTAGCACACAAGACGAGGAGAGGCTCATGCAGAGAGGATCATGAGGCCCTGGGGCGAGGAGAGGGGGAGGGGGAAGGGGTTACAGGCCAGGAGAGCCCTGGGGAAGCCGCCTCGGGGAGAAGGTGCCCACTAGCTGGGAGTCTAAGGACAGGAAGGAGGACTGATTTAAATTCATGGTTGTGCTTGATCTGACTGACATGCTAGGCTGTGAGCACAGAACAGGCCTGGGAACATGATAGGTCTTAGCACATTCTGGGTTAACCTTTGCCAGACTTCAAGCTATTGACTGCCCCAGTCCCTAACTACTAAAAATTAGCTACCCTGATATTGATACAGCTCTCTTATCAGCAACCCAAGGGAGGGAGGGAAGGAGTGAGCAAAGGAGGGAGGGAGGGAGAGTAGGAAGAAGGAAGAGAAGGGGAGGATGCAGGGAAGGAAGAGAGGGAGGGAGGGAGGAAGGAAGAGGGAAAGGAAGAAGGGGAGGAGGGAGAGCAGAAAGAGAAAGGCTGAGTCACTGGGCACAGCTTCTGAGCAGGGAGACCCATTATTCACTGGAATGAAAAACAGTCTGCACCGAACACTGTCAGACTAAAGCCGGCTGAGGCACCACTGGGCCCCAGCACAACCACTTCTAACAGTGAACTGAGTTGAATAAGCATAACTTTAGCAGGGGAATACTGCTGATGACATTAATGAAGGTGACAGGTGATGGGAATGAGCATAAATGAGAATGATCAGAAACACAAAAGCTCAGTGAAGATATTTCCCTTTGTGTCATAACAGTCATGAAATCCAAGCCTTCAAATGCTCAAAGGGGGTATTCCAGAAAATTCCTTCAGCTCAAGAGTCACGCACATCATGTGCCCCCGCCTGTCCTTGGCCCCCAGCTGCCTGCTGCAGCACTTCACTAGGGCTGGGGCAAGGGGGAATGGGAGGGTGGGATGCTGGTGAGAGGATTCAAGGGGGACCATGGACTGGATATTAACTGTCTCCCAACCGCGACAAGACATTTTACTGCATCTTAGAGATCACAACTTCCTCAATTTCTGAAAAACAGGCATGACAATCCTTGCCACACTGATCTCCTCACCAGGGTTACTGAGGAAAGCAGGAGAGGCTCTTCATGTACTGAGTGGGTGATGCGATAGAGAGAGGCGTGAATGTGCTCAGTAACAAAGCCGATGGGCTCCTCAGAGACCAGCCATCCATCTTCCCCTCCATTCAACACCAAACTCCTCACAGAATTGATCTGTGAGTCAACATCCATTTTCATGTCTGCAGTAACTGTTTCACAGAATCTCAGAGGCAGAAGGCATGTCAGGTCCAACCAATGCTCCTGAGAAAGTCCTCAAAAGCATCTCAGGCAACGGATCTGGCAGTCTCTGCTTGAAGACCACTAGCTCCCCAGGCCCCACATGCCCCAAGGTGATAGCTGTCATTACCTACAGGCATCTCTCTACAACAAGCCCAAATCTCTTTCAGTTAGGCCACGCAGCCTGCAGATCTCTTCTATCCTCAGTACAGGAGAACTGATCAGCAATGAACTTTTCCCAAGGAACTAATTCTATGCTGCCCCAAAGAAGAGGCACAACCAGGCGAATGAGACTAAGGCAGGTTAGCCCAGTAACTGCTGACCTGAACAGAAGCATCACAGGTGAGAGTGGGAGGGGGGTAGGGAGAACAGCACTGGGCTTGGACACACCAAAGACCGAAGCTATAGCTTAGCACTATGTGCTTAATAAATATTGACTGATTGACTGGTATGACAACTTTGGTGCCATGTGATGCCAGCTAAGTTGGTGCCCTTCTCCTCATCTCCATTTCTTCACTAAAAAGGAGAGCTAATAATACTTTTTCTCTCATGCTGGAGGGTAAGAAGGGAGGTATTACTATTCTGATTCTTAAAAACACCAGCCCTATCTATTTGAATCTATATTCTTGAAATGTACGGAAACTGATCGGCATCCCGCTAAGCCAGGAAAAGTCAAGTTAAAAAAAGATACAAGTCTTGAAGACCACTGGCTAGGTGCCAGCTGTACCACCCATCTCCGGGAATCTCCATTTTCTCCTCCTTGAGGCAGGGATGGTGCCGAGGGTTTGGTTACCCCCAGGGTGGTGAGGAATGGTGGCCGAGGGCCTGGACCCTCCCAGGCCTTTAGTCAGCATCAGAAAAAGAAGAGAGAAGAAAGAAGCTTGCTACCATCTTGTTCCACATACCTCTGCAGATCCATTATTTCGTTGTTCAGGGAATCGAGTTCCTTAATAGCAGAAAAATCAGCCACTGGACTCGAGCCTACAAAGCTCTAGAAATAGAACATACACACATACAGCTTTATTATCAGTCACAAGATACAACAACATCTATACAAATAACATCAAAGGCACGAGACGAACACAAGGTGGTGTCACTGGGAAGAGGAGTAAACTCGGGCCTAACAAAATGAAGACATTCTTTAATCAAAAAGCAAACAACACTCCCAAATCTACTCTAATTCTCTAGGCCATGGTTCCTAACACCTTTGTGTCACCAACCCCTGGGGCACAGTCAGTTGGTCAGGGACCCCTTCTCGGACACGTTTTTAAGTGCAAACAAAATCCGTAAGATTCCATACAAGGGAAACCAACTGTTTGGAGCTACAGTTCTCAGAACGTCAAAGGTGGCCAGAGAGCAGGCGAAGAAGCCTTGTCCTAGGGAAAGTGGGTCTACCTCTGCTCTGTGGTGGCTTCCTAAAATTAAAAAATACATATTTTATGAAATACAGGCTCTCCCCCTACCACTGTACCCACTTCCTCTAGTAAGTGGCAGTCACGTGATAAACCACTGCCACCCTCCTAAGCCCCAAAAGTGACCCCTTCACTCTCAAATTCTTCCAGGGCAGTTGGTCATTAACAGGAGCAGGGCCTGCCCTTCCCAGTTTTCCATGGAAGTACCCTAGATCCAGCTAGTCTCCCCAGTTCAGCCCCCTTTGTGACTAGAAGGACATGCCTTAAGGTGATGGCTGAGATCATGTGGGATGGCTTGAAGGGGACAAGTACTTGAGAGTTCTGGATCTGATGGGTGATGGCCTGCTGGGGCTATTCATATGGGGCTGAATATATGTGAGTGAATTTAGCATTTATTAAGTCCCTATTATATAGACTTCTCCCCCAGAGCCAGCAGCCCAGCGCTCTGTCCACGTACTGGCTCCTGGTCTGAACACACACCAAAGTGCTTCTGGCTGGCACCCAATAGGTGCTCCTCAGTGTGCTACAGGGAAGTCAGCTCTGCTCCACCTTGTGCCTTATGCCTCATCAGCTCCCTGGCTGAGCCAAAGTCCAGGGCTGAGAATTCAGGGCTTTGACTCCCACTAACTGTCAATGTACCAAGAATCATTTCTGCCAAACTCTCCAGGGCCTGGTACAAGGGTCCTGCCACCCAAGGCCTGGTCTGTGTCAACAGCCTTCCTACTGTGAGCCAGGGAGCCCTCCCTCCTAGCAGCTGGAATGGGGCCATTGGCAGATGTGGCTTCACACCAAGGAAGATTCACTTCAATAACTCCAATACCCCTGTAAGGGGAAAATGTTCAGAACTCGGGCTTTAAGATGAAATGCTGGAGACTCCTCAGATGTTTCCCCACCAAATCAAGAATCTTTGACTCTCAAAGTTGGGTCATGTAGCCTGAGCCCATGTGAGAGTCCTCTCTACAGCAACCCTGACAGGGACTCGAGTACTTTCGGTGACAGGGAGCTCACTACCTCCCAAGGTACCCCAGTCTACCGCTGGGCCATTTCCTTGAGTAACAGCCAAGGTAAATCCTTTTCCCTGTAATTTGCAGTTCTTGTTGCTGGTTATAACTTCTGAAGCCACAGAGGGGAAATGAATGAACACAGTCCGAAAATGGTGTGAGCTCTATGAATGCAGCTGGATATTGAGGTGAATGGGAGCCAGCTGACATCTCAGCATTCAGAGGGAGAAGGGGGAAAGAGCAATGTGATGTCTTCTGTCTTTCGAATGGTTTTTTTCCCCATGCAGACCCACTTCAGTCTCTCCCATCAGGTTCTTGGGGAGGTCAAGCCAGGCAAAGAGGGCACCCTGGCCAGGCCAGGGAGGCACATGCCATGCAGGAGAGTTTTGAGCCATCCTGCCTTAATGGGGCCTGGCTGGGGACACTTTGGGAGGAACCTCGGGCTTCAAAACAGAGCCCCATAAACCAAAACACAGCGAGTTCTCGAAAAGGCATAAAGTAAAGCTCTGACCTTGAGAGAGAGAGGAGAGTTAAGAAACTGAGAGTACAAGAAAGGCGCAAAGCAGAGGGCGGCAGAAGGGAAGAAAGGGTCCAAACTAGAAAAAACACAAAAAGGAAAGCAAACGTCACAAAGAGGTTAGGCATGACTGAAAAAAGGGAGCATTTTTTTCAAATCAGAATACAAAGAGAAAATAGATATTCTCCAAAGACCTCAGATCAATGTAAAAATTAGCACCGAGATTTTTAGGTTAGGAGATATAGTGACCACCTCAGCTAAAACAGGCAAAATTCCATTTTCACATTGGCTGGCAAAGTTATCACATGCCCTGGTCAATGGACTGTGAAATGACATCGTGCTGATCGATGCGGTGAGGAGGTGGCCACGTGGCAGCAACAGACTAGAGGATACTGTGGAGACCATCATGTACAAAACCCTCATGTACCCAGCAGGAAAGCAGGGCCTCCACTGGACGAGTGACTTGGCCAAGGTCACGCAGGTTCTCAGCTGCATACCCAGGATTCAAATGTGCGTCATCTTTCCACTGAAAGGACACTGGTCCAATCACTGGAAAGCACTTGCTAGCTGTGACCATCTTGGGGCAGACTCCTCATTTGTAAAGGCAGGGCATTAAATTAATCACAGAATCTCTGCGGTGGAAAGTTAGATGGGAGCTCAGAGACTGCCTGGTCTAAGCCCGATGTGAAAGGAACCCTCCCGACAGCCCCACAGAAGGGGAGCCTGGAAGCTCTGGGTGAGCCCACTTGCTCTGGGGAAGCCGAATCAGACCCCTCCAGAGACACCCCCCCCATCATTCCTTGTCCCACCCCCTAGAGACGACAAGCCAGCCAGCCTGATCTCTCCCTGCCTGTGCCAGCCCTTCAGATATGTGATCATGCCATTCCCTGAGCTGCTTCCGTTAAGCTAAAGGTGGCCAGTCCCTCCAGCCTATCCTCACACATCATGACCCCAGGCCCTTCGCCATGCTGCCTGCCCAGTTATGGACACTCTCCTGCTCATGAACATCCTTCTTAAACCGAGGTGCCCCAAACTGAGCCCAATGCTCCAGATGAAGTCTGAGCGAAGCAGAGCACAGAACAGCATCGCGTCCCTGTTCCCAGGAGTTTGGAAGCTGCCATATCCCTCTGCTGATTCCTACTGAACTGGGGGGCCACAATAAATTGCACATCTTTTCCATAAAAAAACTTTTCATACCTAAATTCAGGCCTTTTACATGTAACCCTATGGAATTTCATTTTATGAGATTCAGTCCCATGCTCTAGCATGCCAAGATCTCTCTGACACTCGCTGTCACCTAGTATGTTCCCTATGCCCACCCTGTACCCCAAACTCTCCCTCTCCCAATCTGATACATTCTGCCAATCTCAAGATAAGATCTATGCCTCTCTCCAAGGCACTGACCAGAGCGCTCACTAGCCCTGGATTGCCAATCACAGCTGCCGGGGCTACTGCCCTGGGCCCCCTGGCACAAGGCCACCGACCCATCCATCTCAGAGTCAGGTCACTCGACCAGTTCCGAATTCATTTAACCGTACTATCCTCTGGCAGACTCTCTCAATCATTTCTACACAAGAATATGACACTTCATCAAGAACTCTGCTACAAAATGGAGGCACCCCTCTTGGCTAGGTCAGGCAGCAAGCCCCAAAAGGAAACTGGGCAAGCTGGAATGTCCTGCCCTGGCTGAAGCTGGACAGGATGGGCTCGGCAGTCATGGCTCCCGCCCCATCTGCTCAGTGATCTGCTCTAACACTGACCAGGGCAAGACCCCTGGCTTCCAGCTAGCAGACTCCCTTCCCATCCCTTACTGGTCCTTCTCCAGCCCTGGGGACACTTCCCCTTCCCCTCCCCCTCTCTGTGACCATTCAGCCATCTCTGCCAGCAGCAGTTACACTGTCATGCCCTGTGCTTCCTCTGGGCCCTGAGGAGGGAGGGTGCTTATGAGATAATCTCCAAGGCCCCCTGCAGTGCTAAAGCTATAACTCCATGAGTTCTCCAATGGAAGGAATGGAAATTGTCTGGTTTTGTAGTTTGCTTTCTACTGTATCTGTATTTGTGAGACGGGGGTGTTGGGGGGAGGGGCAGCATGAGAGAAAGGCGGTCCATGCTGCGTGCTGCAGGAGCCACGGGCCTGGACAGACCACTGCAGGGGAGGCAGAAATGCGGATAAAGCAGCAGCATGGACCGTGCTCAGGGCTGCCTCTTTCAGCTGAGCCCACAGCCCGGGAACCCAAAAAGAAACTTCTATCCCCCTCACCCCTCAAACCCAGAAGTCACTACATTCGGTAAATAAACACTCTCCCCGGACGCTCACTCTGTCTGCTAACGAAGCCCCTCAACACGCTACACCAGGGGATTTCCATTGAAAATGGTTTGGAAAAAATGCAATTTTAAGGTTCCACCAAGTTTGTTAAAATAGAATTTTTGCCTGTTTGGTTAAATTAGTGCAAAACAACAATAATTAATATTTATTTAAAAGACAGTTCTCACAACTCATCAGATACCTTATGAAGTAACCTGACAGGCCCTGTTCTGTTACAGAGATCTGTGAGGAGGGGAACTGAGACAAACAGGGAGGCTTTACAGGCCCCAAGGCTCATGGGGATGAGCGAGTCGCCTGACCTTAGAAGGATAACAAACGAAGGAAGAATACTAACTTGTGGAAGCCTTTTTAGGATGCTGTCAGAAGCCAAGGGCCAGCCGAGGGGATGCTGACAAGGGTTTCCAGACTGCCCGAAAGAGGGCAAGGTACTAAGTGGCATGAGGGGCAGAGGCCGATGGGAACCCAGGAACTCCTGCGACCCACAAATGTCCAAGCCTGGGCTTTCCCATTCTCACCTGAAATGCATGGGCGGCCTTGGGGAAACCAGCAGCCCTCCCGGAGGAGGAAGGAGGGCTGAATGGATGGGGAAGCAGGCTTGCAGCATATAGACCAGCAGTATGGGGCCCCCGCACACATGTCCAGAGGCACCACTCAGAACCCGAGTTTGGAGAGTGGGTCAGAGCCAGGTTCACCGCCTCCACTGTCCAGCCCAATCAGCCCCTGCCTGCACTGACGGGCCAACATTCCGCTAACCTGTGTGACTTTCCTACAAAGGCCACTGGATCTGTGCCCAGAACCTAGCAGGTGCCTGTGGAAGTGAGTTTTTACCTTCTGCAGACTGGCCCTGTCTGACGGTGGGATCATCTCGGCAGAAAGATTCTGAGGAGGATCGATGCCCTTGGTCAACTTCTGATTAATGAAGTAAAAAGCCAGGGCAAACTGTTCCTTGGAAAGTTTCCCACAGTCCTTTGTGTCGCACAGTGCCCTGTTGAAATCAAGAGAGGGAAAACAGCCTTAGCTTCCCCAGAGAAGAAGGTTGACAATCCATCATTCAGGGTCCTGCTTCCTGGGAGCTGTGGCTGGGGGCTGGGGCAGGCCCTTCCCAGGCTCCCTCCTTTCTTCAGCCAGCCACATCCTTCTCTTCCTTCAGAGGGAGCGCAGTTCCTGGCCCACCTAATGCTAGGAAACATCTGACCTTTGAACTGAAGGCCAGCTCTCCCAGACTGCCTGGGGCTCTTCTCTGTCTCCACCTCAACCACCATCTCCCTCCCCAGGACCACAACATACTCCTGAGCCCTTGCCCCTAGGGAGATGGATGCCAAGACCCTCCAGGACCAGGACCACACGCCTCTGAGTTTACCAGCCTGACGGAGAAGGGCCACTTGATAAATATTTGCTGAATCTGTGTCCTTCATTTGGCCCATTACAATATCTTCCACTCAAATCACACAGAAAAAGGGCTTTTCACAGAGTCCATGCCAATTGCCTTTTTTTTTTCCCTAAAGGTAGCCTTGTAAGCCTGTGCCTTCCTCCATGGGTTCTGGTTCTTGAAAGAAGCAAATAGCCTTCCAGTGAAAAAAGTCAGCTGGCAAAGCATCTGCTCTCCCTGGGTGATGGCACCAAGGGCGTTGAGCCTGAGGCTTGGCTAGGGAGACAGACTGGGTCCCTGGGACGTTCCTGCCATCTGACCAGATCCTCTGTGGGGCAAGGTCTCAGCAGGCTCCCCAACCCCTCCCTGCATAAAAACAGGCTATGTCTGCCCTCTGGGATTCCATGGTTGTTTGAGATCCAACCTTTTACCCCCCCCGCCCCGGTTTCAGAGACCTCCCCAGGCCCGTCAGCCAAAGGACTGCAAGAAAAACCAAGCCAGAATGCAAAGAACAACTGGAGAGAAATCCCAGGGACGTCCAAACAGTGGAACATGGGCAAGAGTGAAAAAGGCATCTCAGGACCCCATGGAGAAACCAGCCCGATGCCTTGCTTCTGTCCAGCACTGGACATTTACCGCACTGCTTTCTAAAGCTCCTACGGGGGGGCCTCACATTTCACTGTCAAAGAGAACTGCTCTCAGTCTAAGGTTCTCTTCTCAGGCTCTTGCTCTGTCCCGTTTGCTCTCCAAGGCCCTCATCCCCCACAGCCTCTGCCATGCTCCAGCTTCAGAGACGGATGAACAATGTTGTACAAAGAGTCTTGAGTAACGGGTCAGTATCACACTGGTCTCTGACAGTGAGCCCAAGGGCTATGATTGGGGTTTGGATGCCAGCAGGGCATGCTGGAAAACAAGCTAGATTTGGAGACAGGGGACCTAGGTTCAAATCCCAAATGTTACATATATCTCTATTAAATACTATTTGCTAGCTTTAGGCCTACATTCTCTAGTTACCTGAGATTTTGGGGGGCCTTGTTATCACCCAACATATTACCCATCCCTCCTAATTTTATGTCATCTTCAAATCCGATAAGCATACAATCTAGTCCTTTATTTCAGTTACAGTCAAAGTGTCAGACCCAAGGTCAAGCATAGATCCCTGGGGTACTCCACTAGAGACCTTCAAAGCTGACATCAATCCACCAACAATTTCTCTTTGGGTCAAATCAAGGCACTCAATCGGTTCTGAATCCCCATGTCATCTAGCCCACATCTCTTCTTCGCATGCATAAAAATAACATGAGTAGCCCTATCAAGCATTTTGCTAAGATACAGATAAATAATTTCTACATAAATATAAAAGCCCCATAAAAATGAGAAATTCAGTTCGTCTGGCACAGCTGGTTCTTGATGAAATCATGCCAGCACTCTTGGTTTCCATTCCCTTTCAATGTGTTTAATGACAATCCTTTCAATAACATATTCTAAAATTTTCCAGGAACTCCAAGTCAAGCTAACTGCCATGTTGTTTATACACCTCATTCTCTTCCCTTTTGCAAAAAACCAAAAAAACACAAAAAGGGCATGTGTTCAGCCCCACAGCACCCTTCCCATGCTCCACAAGACCCCAAGGCCACAGCGCTTCCACAATCCCATTCACAAGCTAGGAAGTGGAATCTGCCCAGGCCTGATCACCTGGATCCCAGAAGACAGCTGCTTGCTGTTCTCTTCACTTCCCTAATCTTGGGCCTCAACTTCCATTCTGGTCCTGTCCTTCACAGTATCCTTGACCCCCTTTTTTTGTTTTTTTTTTAAGGCAATTGGGGTTAAGTGACTTGCCCAGGGTCACACAGCTAGTAAGTATCAAGTATTTGGTCTGAGGCCAGATCTGAACTCAGGTCCTCCTGACTTCAGGGCCGGTGCTCTATCCACTCTGCCACCTAGCTGCCCCCTGACCCCCCTTTTTTAAAAAAACAAAAGAAAACAAAACTTCTAGCTGCCCTTAGCTCTCCTCTCCAGTCTCAGTGCAAGGCTTTACTGCAATGGACATTACTATAGGACTATGTTGGGCTTTTTAAACATTCTCTATTATCCTCATTTCCATCCTCTGAACACCTCTTTTTAAAATCTAGGTTGGCTTTTGAAAAAACAACCTGAATTGGTCCATTAAATGAGGGGGGAAAAAATCTCTGCATCAAATATTTATGATAAAAGCCTGCTAAAAGCATTCCCCAATGGGGGTCTCCTGACACAGTCAAAGGACCTGAACAATTCTGAAAAAAAGAAATGCAAACCATCAATGACCACGAGAAAACGTGTCTAAGTCACAAAGAAGAGGAAGGGGAATAAGAACTTGGGGCTCATTCCAACGTTTATCCAACCAGCAAAGATGAAAAGAGAGAGAAAGAATGACCAACACAGAAAGAGGCTGTGGGAAAATGGGCCCACCAGCACACACTGCCTGAGGAGCTGTGAAACCATGTAATATGATGGGAGTCAAATCGCTAAGGTCTTCATCCCTGAACCGATCCCCCAGGAAGGCAGAGAAGGAAACGGTTCCTCCAGTCAATCAGTCAGTCAATAAGCATTTATGAAGTGCGTATTCTGTGCCTGGCACTGTGCTGAATGCTGGAGACACAAAAAGAGGCAAAAGACAGTCCCTGCCCTCAAGGAGCTGATAATCCAATGGGGGAAACCACATGCAAACACATATATACAAAGCAAGCTAGATACAGGATAAACAGGAAATAATTAACAGAGGGGATGCACTGGAATTAAGGGGCCTAGGGAAGGCTTCCTGCAGAAAGCAGGATCTTAGCTGGGACTTCATATATCCCATTGACCCTATCTACCAAAATGGCAGCAGAAGCACAATGCTGGAGCCAAGTGGGTGGTCCTTAACCGAGGGATGACTGAAAAAAGCTGTAGCACATGAATTAATGGAAACTATTGCGCTGTAAGGAATAGTCAACCAAATGAGGTATTCCTAAAGACATGGAAAAGCTGTAGAAACTGACACAAAATTAAGTAGAAGCAGGAGAAATAAGGGCCAATGACTACAATGGTGGAAAGCTAACACCGTCGCTCTCAATCCACAGCCACTCTAAATGGCCAGGCTCCGACCCAGAGATAACAACAAAGCGCCCTCTGCTCCCCTCAAGGGCCAGAGACACTGCCCGGCTCCCAGACTGGGCTGCTCAGTTTTGCTGAGCTGTTTTCCCTGGACACGAGAATGGAATTGAGAGGGGACAGAGATGGGAAAGATACTGGGAGAAAAGGCAGCAGTGAAATGTGCTTTTAAAACACAGACAAAGCCAATGCAACCAAGATTGGAAGGAAAGTAGAAAATTGGGAAAGTAGTTTACAAGCAGTGTCTCTGATAAGGGCCTCATTTCTAAAATATATAGAGAACTAAGTCAAATTTATAAGAATACAAGTCATTCCCCAATTGATAAATGGCCAAAGGATATGAACAGACAGCTCTCAGATGAAGAAATTAAAGCCATCTATAGTCACATGAAAAAATCCTGTAAATCACTATTAATTAGAGAAATGCAAATCAAAACAACTCTGAGGTACCACATCACACCTATCAGATTGGCCAACATGACAAAACAGGAAAATGATAAATGTTGGAGAAGATGTGGGAAAACTGGAACACTAAAGCATTGTTGGTGGAGCTGTGAAATGGTCCGACCATTTTGGAGAGCAATTTGGAACTATGCCCAAAGGGCTATAAAATTGTGCATACCCTTTGACCCAGCAATAGCACTTCTGGGGCTGTATACCAAAAAGATCACACAAAGGGGAAAAGGATTCAGATGGACAAAAATATTTATAGCAGCTCTTTCTGTGGTGGCAAAGAATTGGAAACTGAGAGGATGCCCACCAATGACGTAATGGCTGAACAAGCTGTGGTATATGAATGTAATGGAACACTACTGTGCTATAAGAAATGATGAGCAGGGGGGCAGCTAGGTGGCGCAGTGGATAGAGCACTGGCCCTGGAGTCAGGAGGACCTGAGTTCAAATATGGCCTCAGACACATAACACTCACTAGCTGTGTGACCCTGGGCAAGTCATTTAACCCCAACTGCCCTCACCAATAAAACAAAACAAAAACAAAACAAAACAAAACGAAATGATGAGCAGGCAGACTTCAGAAAAACCTGGAAAAACTTGTTATGGTCTAATGCTGAGTGAAGTGAGCAGAACCAGAAGAACGTTGTACACAGTAATACCACGTTGTGCGATGATGAATATTGATAGACTTAACCCTTTTCAGCAATGCAAGAATCTAAGACATCTCTAAAGGCCTCATGATGGAAAATGCTGTCCACATCCAGAAAAAGAATAATGGAGTTTGAATGCAGAGGGAAGCATGCTATTTGCACTGTTTTTCCTCTTATTGTGTTTTGTTTCCTCCTTCTGGTGGTTGCTCCTATTGGTTCTAATTCTTCCTTACAACATCACGAATGTGAAAATAGGTTTAATAGGAATGTATACGTAGAGCCTATATCAGATTGTGCGCTGTCTTGGGCAGGAAGGTGGAGAGGGAGGGGGAGAAAAATTTTAAACTCAAAAGCTTATGGAAGTGATTGCTGATAAATCAAAATAAATTAATAAAGTTTAAAAAAAATCAGTCTGGGAAGGGAAGACCCTCAGAGTTTCTGGCCAGAATAGAAACAATCTATTTGGGGAGTAAGCTATTCATCCCATGACTGGAGCTCCTATGTGATAATATTGTAGCAATAAAATCCACGAGGTCAGTAAAAAAAAAAAATCTAAGGAGTTCTGTCAGTGCCCTGTACGTTCACCTTGGCCTCCTGGGCCACCATTCCCTTTTCTATCAATGTAACACACCAACCAATCTTCCAGCCTTCTCCTGTCTTTAGGCTTTCCCAACCAGCCTCACTTCATCGAAGGACGGCCATCTCCTTGAGAGCAGAGCCTGCGCTGTCCATCTCTGCTTTCATCTTTGGGTCCCCACTGCCTAATCCAGGACCTCGCACATAACAGTGTGACAGCCAATCAACATTTACTAATTTAAACACCTACTACATGCCAAGTGTTGTTTCATTGTTCAGTCATTCAGTCAAAGATACTGGAGTGGTTTGCCACTCACGTCTCCAGTGGATTAAGATAAATAGAAGTGACTTGCCCAGGTTCACAAGCCAGGAACTGCCTGAGGTTGGATTTGAACTCAGGTCCTCCTGACTCCAGGCCTCCCCTACATCCACAGCCACCTAGCCGCCTCATGGGCCAAGCAGAGGCTTAAAAAATAATCTGCTGAATCCTGAGCTCTCAACCTCTTACATTCTTGCATTAGACTCTGGAGAATAAGCACACCACGGTCCTTTGGGTCAAGTGTAATGCCACAGGGTGGAGTGTTCACAGGCTACCCCACCCCGAGTACCAAGCCCAAAGACCAGGGGCCAAGGGCGTATACGTGGGAGAGGTAGCTCCCCTCCCTTCACTGAGCCTAAGTTCAATTAAACATCGAACACAACCATGGCGATTTGGGTTCTTCGTTTTCAGAGGACATTCCAATGATGCTGTGGCTTCTGATACCATGTTCTCTCAACTGCTGGCCTTGGATAACTTGTGGGCCTTGAGGCACAGCTCAGTTTTACAGTTTGTACATAAAACAATCCTGAAACAAAAACTCTTTCTTTTCTAAGTGTTCCAACCATGATTCAAACATCGAGCAAGGGCCAGTACAAAGCTGACCATTTGCAAGCAACAATGACAAGGGTTTGCAATGTAGGAGGGGGAGATAAGGTAAGTACCCAAGTAACAAAGTACCAAGGGTGCAGGAGAAGCGCTTATTAGGGAGGGAAGGAGAAGGGCCTGCAACCAGCAGCTGAGCTGGGCCCTGAAGGAAGCATCTTAGCAAGCACAGGGTGGCAGGCGGATATTCCAGGCCCAGACCTGCCTGAGGGGACGCCCAGAGAAAGGGGAGGGCAGGACAAACGAGAGGAAGCTGGCCCCTGCACGCTGGGGTATGCCTTTAAACAGATGCTTACCAGATGTGCGCTAGTAAAGCAGATGGTAATCCTGTCTTGAGGAAGATCTCTCGGACTTCAAACCCAGACACAAAGCCATCCATGTCCTTATCGGTCTTCAGGAATATCTCATCATATTTTGCCTTTTCCGCAGGTGATACAACCCACTGAAAAAAGCAAAGAACTGCTCAGCAGAAAGGCCCCCAAGCCGGGGTCGTCGCCCTCCCGCAGCACCCCAGGCTGTTTGTCCTCAGCTCTGAGCACTGTCCTCCAAGGCTGCCCACACCAAAATGAGAGCGTCTCAACAAAAATAAAAGAGCTGAAGAAAAACGCGATGCAGGAACAGAGTTCTAGCAATGCCACCCCTGCCCTCACCCCTTTAAAGAACAACTGCATCTACGCCCAGTTCCCCCTTGACCTGACTGCCCTAGGGGGAGGGGAGATGCCAGGCCCCAAAGGGATGGAGAGATGGCACTTGGAGAGGATCCCAAATTCTTTTTTTTTTTTTTGGCTAGGCAATGGGGTTAAGTGACTTGCCCAGCGTTACACAGCCAGTAAGTGTTCTGTGTCTGAGGCCGCATTTGAACTCAGGTCCTCCTGAATCCAGGGCGCCACCTAGCTGCTCCAGAGGACCTCAAATTCTAACGGACAGCTTCCCTTCCCTCTTTATCAGATTTGAGCTGATTAATTTGCTCATTCCAATCTAATTTCTTTACTTCTTCCATTCACCTAGGAAGGCTGGATTTAACTGGACTGTAAGGAAAGCAGGACTCATTCTGGGCAGGCAGGAGTCCAGGGCTCCAGTCCCAGCTGTCACATTTACTGAGCTGCAGGACTGTGGCAGAGGGCCCTCCCCGAGCCTCAGCTTCTCCATCTGTAAACTGGGGATGATACCATTTGTACTCCCTAACTCATGGGGCTGGTGCGAGGAAAGTACTTTGTGAAGCTTAAAGCCTTGTACAAAACAGGCATTGTTTCTAATAGTGATACTAAATCTCCAGGGCAAACCCCCAAATTGGATCATTAGCCTACAAATAATCAAGAGGTGACCAGACAGAAGCAGAACTTCCCAGGGCATGACCCAGGCAAGGGCAAGCATGCTGGGTTAGTGGGGAGGAACAGTTCTGAGATGGTGCACGTGGTCTTCTTCTGCACATCCTAGAACGTCGGTCCCGTAAGCGCCAGATCTGTGAACACTCCCTCCAGGTGGGCAAAGTATTCCATGCAGTCAGTTAACAAGGATCTCGAGCGTGGCTTCCTGGTTACCTGTGTCACCGCTCTGGCAGGTAAGATGCCTGCCGGTGGCGAGGCCCGGCGGGGCTCCCTGGCAGGTGCTATGGAAGGCATCGGCCGCTTCGAGGCTGAGGCACTGACCATTCTTCTCTTTGAAGGTGGCACCAAGGCTGGCGGCAAGGACATTGGCACAGGCTCCTTCTCCAGGGCACAGTACACCAGAAACATGGCCTTCAAAAGAGATGAGCCAAGGGGAGATATGTTACCATCATCAGGAACACTGAGTCAGTCAAAATGGATAAAGGATTTAAACCTAAAGGGGGATAGCATAAGCGAGCTAGGAAAGCATGGAAATTTTCATCTGTTACATCTACAGACAAGGAAGGGTCTATGACCAAAAAAGAGACAGGATCATAAGAAGTAAAATGGATAATTTTGATTACACGAAATTAAAAAGGTTTTGCACAAACAAAGCCAATGCAGCCAAAATTAGGAAAGCAGGAAACTGGGAAACAATTTTTACATCAAGTTCTTCTGAAAATGGCCTCATTTCTCGAATACATAGGAAACAGTGGAATTTATAAAAATAAGAACCATTCCTCAAATGACAAATGGTCAAAGGATATGAACAGGCAATCTTCAGAGATGACATCAAAGTTATCAATAATTATATGAAAAATGCTCTAAATCACTACTGATTAGAAAAATAAAACCTAAAACAACTCTGAGGTACCCCCTCACAACTATCAGACGGGCTAATACAACAGAAAAGGAAAATGATAAATGCTGGAAGGGATATGGAAAAATAAGTACACTAATGCACTGTTGGTGAAGTTGTGAACTGATCCAACCATTCTGTAGAGTGATTTGGAACTATGCCCAAAGGTCTGTAAAACTACGCATACTCTCTGACCCAGCAATACCACTAATATGTCTGTATCTCAAAGAAATCAAAGAAAAAGGAAAAGGAACTATATGTACAAAAATATTTACAACAGGTCTTTTTGTGGTAGCAAAGAACTAGAAGCTGAGAGGATACATATCAATTGGGGAATGGTTGAATGAGCTGTGGCATACGATCGTAATGGAGTACTACTGTGCTATAAGAAATGATGAGCTGGATGGTTTCAGAAAAACTCGGAACACAATAACAGCCACGTTGTGTGATGACTAATATTGATAAACTTAACCCTTCCCAGCAATACAAGGATCTAAGACATCTCCAAAGGCCTCATGATGGAAAATGCTATCCACATCCAAAGAAAGAACTATGGAGTTTGAATGCAGATGGAAGCATACTACTTGCTATTTGTTTTTCTCTTCTGTTGAGTTTTGTTTCCTCTTTCTGGTGGTTCCTCCTATTAGTTCTAATTTTTACTTACAATATCACTAATCTGACCATATGTTTAATAAGAATGTATACATATATAGTCTGTATCAGATTGTGTGCCATCTTGGGGAGGGTGGTGGGGAGGAAGGGGGAGAAAAATTTTAAGCTCAAAAGCATATGGAAGTGATTGTTGATAAATCAAAATAAATTAATAAAAATAAATTTTTTTAGAAAAAGAAAAATTTGGAAAGACATATGAAATGATGCAAAGTGAAGTGAGTAGAATAAGGAGAACACTGTATATAGTAATGGCAATATTCTAACAATGATCAATTGTGAAAGACTTAGCTATTCTGATCAAGACAATGATCCAAGACAATTCCAAAGGACCCATGATAAAAATTGCTATCCATATTCAGAGAGAGAAAAATGGTGAACTCTGAGTGAAGACTGAACCATGCTTTTTTTTTACTTTATTTTTCTCATTCTTTTTGTGTGTGCCTTCTTTTGCAACACAGCTAATATGGAAACATGTTTTGCATGACTTTATATATGTAATCAATATCGTACTGCTTGCCTTTTCAAGGGGTTGTGGAGAAACGGGAGGAAAGAGGAGAATTTAGAACTCAAAATTTGAAAAAATGAATGTTAAAAAATGGTTTGGGTTTTTTTACCTGTAGCTGGGAAACAATTTAGTGAAATAAATTTTAAAATATACTTTTGGGGGGGGGCAGGTAGGTGGTGCAGTGGATGGAGCACCGGCCCTGGAGTCAGGAGGACGTAAGTTCAAATCCAGTCTCAGACCAGAGACTTGACACTTACTAGCTAGAGTGTGTGTGTGTGTGTGTGTGTGTGTGTGTGTGTACTTTTTTTGAAAAAAAAAAAGAAAAACCTGAGAAGACTTATATGCATTGATGCAAAGTGAAGTGAGCAGAACCAGCAGGTCATTCATTATACACAGTAACAGCAATATTTCAAGGAAAGATTTAGCTACAAGATTCAGCTGTCCAAGACAATTCTAAAGGACTCATGATGAATAATGCTAACCGCTTCCAGAGAGAGAAATGACACACTCTGAGTGCAGATTGAAGCATACTTTTTTCACTTTATTTTTCTTGCTTTTTTTTTTTTTGCAATAAGACTAATATGGAAATAAATTTTACATGACTTCACAAGTATAATCAATATACCGCCTGCCTTCTCAGTAGGTGGGAGAGAGTGAGGAGAGAATTAGAAACTCAACATTTTTGAAAATGAATGTTAAAACAAGTACATTAAAATGCAAATAAATAATGGGCTGATGAACAAATGAATTTTTAAAAAGGACTGTTAAGCCAGTCATAGCTACAGTTCTGAAGCTTCTTTGGGGGATTTCCAGGGCCACTGAAGACAAGTCTCTCCCCATCACCAAAACATCTGCACCAGGCAACTGGCCAATCACAGTGTGCACCCAGCCCCACGTTAAGCCAAGGACGTCAAGGTTTCCAATCTGGCACCTGCAATCCTGCTCCCCCAGTGCACCTCCCCACCCCAAACACTGGCAGGGACAGGGCCATGGTTCAATGGGTTGGAAGTCGTTTGTGGTCCAGATTAGAGGTAGAGACACTCTGCCGTTCCAACTCTGATCTAAAGCACCCAGCTGGCAGTGACCAGCTCCCCATCTAAGACCAGCAGGACCCAGTCACATCCCTTGTTCTAGCAAAATCTCTCAGTCTGTGCTCCATTTGCCAGTCTGGTAATTTCCACGTTCCATTTCTTTCGCATAATGCAAAACTATCCAGATTAAATGTGTTTTTCCCCAAGCATAAGTTTAGGCCCGATATGAATTCGGATCCCGTGAACAGAAACACTTGACATTCAGAGATAAACACCCAGCTTCCACACCCAGCAAAGCTAGCTTTTAATACTCTGGCCCAGACCAAAAGCTCTCCCCTCCCTAGGAAGGCCTCAAGAATTAAACTTCTGTTTCAAGTCACACTAAGAGGCCTGGCTCTGGCTCAGCCCCCACTGAGCCTGGGGTTACAGAAACAGATCAGACTCAAAAACTCATGACTCAAAGACCATTTAGAATTTATAGAGAAGTACAAGGCTGGCACTGAATGAGGGGAAGTGATTAGCAAGGACCACAAAAGGTCAGCGTTCCTCTCAGCAGATGGAAGCGATTTCCTGGAAAGGCGGGTACGAAAACACAAAGTACAGTTGGCCATCTGTTGTCAATGGACAACAAAAATTTTTGGAAGCTAAAGAACATGTTTTTAATTTCACATTGCCTGAATGTGTTGCTTTCCTTCGCAAACGAATTCAAAATACATTTTTAAAACTTTCCACAAAAGTCGTGACCAACTTGAAATTGTGAATGACACTGAGGTTTCTTTTACACTTATATTCAAATCTTAGTCCTTCCAACAAAAGAGGGCCAGAGATGGGTGCTGAGAGCACCCATGAGGTGAGGGGCCTCAGGTAAGGGGAGGCAGGCCCCCAGGGCCATCCCAGCTCTGGCCCCCCAAGTCCTGGGGTCCCTTCCAGCTCTGAAAAGTCTATGACTTGAAACCCTCGGCTAGCCCTCTGGCAGACACAGAAGAGGAAGAAAGGGAGGCTTAGAGAACTTTTCCTCATATCTATATGTTCCACCAAGGCAAACGAAATTTATTTCAATATTAACAAGAACCTCTTTCACATTTAACTAGCCAACAGCCCCAAAACCTTGTTTCTAATGATATAAGAAAAGTAAAGTCAACTCTCAATTCAGCCTTGGGAAAGGGGGCAACTATCTCTCAGGTCACTCCCACCTCTCCCTTCCTCCCAGCCCTGAGCACTTAATAAAGACTACCTTGGGCCTTGGCCCAATGCCTCCCTTGACTCATCTGTAAAATGGGAACGCTACCCACACAGTGAAGAAAGTCTGGCATCAAACTAGGGAAATGTGATCTCTTATTAGCACACAAAAGACGCGCTTCACCAACGCTGACTGAACAGAGTGTGCTCGGCTCCCCTCTCTGAATCTCTGAGCTGGCAGCTTGTGCCTTGGGGGATTCGATCATTGTGATGCCAGCTAGCGTCCCTGAAAATAGCAGCAAGAATGAGCATCCTGAGGCCACGGAAGGAATACAAGCTGTCTCGACACAAGGGTGACAGTTCCTCCTTTCCTCAAAGCTCCCAAAGGGCCTAACACCGTGCTCCTGAGTCCCCTAGAGGCTTGAGCAATGCTAAGGATGAATAAACACCCAGACCAATTTCAGGCCTGCAAACCAAAGCAACAACAATAATTAACCAGACCTATTAAAATTCTAGACTGACAGAAAGGGGGCTTTTCTAGCTGGGGAGCTGACTGATGAAGGAAGCAAATGGCAGCACAAAGAATGAAACTGGGGAGGGGGAGTCTGCATGAGCTGGGAGACCCGCATTCTACTCTCAATTCTGTTACATGTCACCTCCTTCTCTGGGCCTGTTTTCACATCTGAAAACATGAAGGAACAGTGACCTCCAAGATCCATCATAGCCCTAAAACACTATGGATTCATGTAAACACAGACTTATTCATCAATAATATAAACGACATGGGAAGGGGCAGGGAGGATGAAAAAGTGGGATGGAACCTCTACTATGAAAAATAGTAGTTTTAGAACAAAGAAAAGGAGGCAAGGCTTCACCAACAGGTACCAAACTCATGGAATTTGACCAGAGATCTGGCAATAATTAACTAAAATGAGCCCAAGAAAACCGGAATTAAACAAATAAATTCACACATCCTATCTACAAATTTGAGTGAAGGAAGTCAGAGCTGTTTGGGAACACCTTCCTCACCTTCTTGGAGGCTGTCTCTAAAGCAATTTAATTTGGCTCTTCTACCAATCTGACCCAATCAGCCATGCCTGGTCAGTCTCTCACACTTGGTTCCTATGACCACAACTCCCCCTACAAACAGCAGCTCCTCACCAGCTGCCTCCCTCCCTCCCCCACCTTTGAGGTGCCTCCACCCAAAGGTCTGCTCTTTGTGCCTAAATGGCCATTTCCTGAGGAACCCCATCATGCTCAACTCACTCTCAGGACTTCTCCGCATCCTCACTGGCAGCCTTGCCCCTTGCCCCAGCTAGGGCACCCTCTCTCATACCTTTTCCAGTTCCCCTTAAAGTGTTGTCTTCCCTGACTAGAACATACACTCCTGAGAGTGCAGAATGTCTTGTTTGCTTATATGTGTATCCTCCTCTCACTTAGCAGAGGGCTAGTATGCAGTAGGTGTTTAATCAATAATTGTTCATTATGGAAAGAAAAGGACAGATGTGAGCCACATTGTGGAGATCTGGGGTACAGGAGAAAGAGCTTTGGATCTGGAGCCAAAGGACCTGAGTTCAAATTCTGTCTTTCAGACTCATTGTATGACTAGGGGCGTGGAGCCTCTCTGGGCTTCATTTTCCTCATCTGTAAAAGGAGGGGGTCAAACCAGATGACCCCTAAGGTATCTTCCCAGCTCCAAATGTATGATTTTATCATACAGAAAAGGTAAGACCTGACAATGAGTGGATTCTTTAAAAAGAAAACAGATTCTGGGTCTTTTAAAAATACTTTTGAAAAATGTGAAAAACAAAAATTGGAAAATGGGTCAAGAAAACATGCAATTATCAAATTAAACATGTAATTCCTGCCTCGGAAGCTCTCCAGTCAAAGCTGGCTTAGTTCGCCCAGTGACGCAAGGTAACCGAGTCCCTCCAAAAGGCCACACCCACGAGAAACCAAAGGCAGCTGGTCTGAAATGACATGCCCCCAAGAGAACTGGCAGAACGGAATGCAGCCGATCCGGTTCTAAGTGTCAGCCAGCTGTGTAGGCGCCCAACACCGGCCCACAAGGCAGCAAAACAACAAGCATATAAGCCAGTCCCTCTTTTCTAGAATTCAGTAAATTAATCACAAAGTTTAGGCAAAGTAACCCCTTCCAGACAACACTCATCTCACCCTAGAGAGCACTTCCCAAGCACTAACTTAGGCAAATAAAATTCCTACCTCTGCCCCCCAGCGCCCCGAATGACGAGTGATGGCCAAGCCCAGGGGACCGATGTCCAGGGACCCAGGCGCCAGCCTGCCCAGCCCTATAGGGCATCCCCGGCACTGTGGACCAAACAAGGGCCGCTCGGGACTCCCACGGGATTCTGGGGGGAAGCGCATTCCTTGGCCAACGCTTTGGGGGAAGCTACCTGAGTGTTCGCCTCTAGTTCTGGAAAAGGGTGGGCTATCCAAAGATCTGAGATTCCAACTCCGTGAGACCTTGGGCAAAGGGTTCTGTTCCACTAAAACCTAAGGGGATTGGCAAGATTGGCCTAAACGCCCATTTCCCAGAACTCATCTCAATCTTATTTCTGAAAGCGCTGTGCTTGTCTCTGGGAGAAAGTTACAATGCTGAGAGGAATAAGCAACCTCTTCTTGAACTGGTTTCCCTAACGGAGAGAAAATGTCCCCTTTTAACCACACTACAGAAGGGGGAGGTGGAGGGGAAGGGCCTCAAGATCGTGCCACAAACACGCTGGTCCAAGGCAATGGAACAAGGGGGGGGGGGAGCCACACTGTAGCTGTCTTCAAGTACTTGAAGGCCCATCATCTGAAGGAGGAAATATACCCCTTCCTTCCCCTCACCCTACAGAACACAAACAGCAGTCTGTGGCAGATTCGGTCTCCACATCAGGGGCAGTCAGGAAGGCCTGAATTCCAATCCTGCCTCAGACACTTCCTTGGCTTTGTCAGCTCCCTCTGCTTGCCTTGGCCTGTCTCCACAAAACGAGGAGGCTGTCCTTGAAGGCTGTTCCAAAGGAGAATGGGCCGTCTCCACAGAATGTGGGGTGGCAGGCGCTGCCCCTGCTGCAGATGGCCAGGGCTCCGTACTGCCTGGGTAATAGGTGGGCTCCCTGCTCTCTGAGGCACCTTCTAGCAGAGATCCTGTGCTTGTACAGGAAGCTCCATGTCACAGGCACCCTTCATGGGGGATATTGTCGAGAGGACGCCTATTTCAGACAGCAATTCCCCTTGAACTCTAACAGAGCGGCCCAAATTTGGAGCCAGAAAACTCGAGTTCAAATCCCAGCTGTGCTCCTCAATGAGTCACATTTAGCAAGTCACTTGCCCTTTCTTAGCCTCAGTTTCTATTCCTGTAAAATTAGTGGATTGGGTTAGATTATTAAATTTCCACCCTTGACAAGTAGTAGTTTCCAAACGAAACTATCCCATGGCATTTGTACTATTGCTATCTACTGACTGAGAAACCAACCAAGCATAGGAATGTGCTGCTGGGAATTCAGTCACAGTTTTACAAAACCAAAGCATCCTCAAAAGTGCCCACAGTGTGGGGCCAGCACACAGAAGGTGCTTAATAAATGCATGTCGAATGACTGACTGCTGATGCTATAAGTGGAAAAAAAAACTTATCTGAAACCTCCTGAAATCCAAGAGTAAACAGGACAGATAATGCACTCTGATGAAGAAGGCCATCTCAATGAAAGAGAAGCTCCAATTTCATTCCCAAAATGCCAAAAAAAATTGGTATGATGAGTCACAAATGAAGCAAAAACTAAACAAAATGACTAACACAAGCCCCACGATCTCTACTGCGGGTTCCAGCTCAACATCACAAAGCGTGGCGTGTTTCGTGGCCTTCTTGGGTGTCCAGAGAGAGAACCCTTGGACCACTGAATTTCCAAACTCCCTTTGAACTCTAGATTCCACACAAACAGAAGCCCTAGGCCTAGAGCTGAACCCTAACTTCCCTCCCTCGGTCTATTCTCCAGCAATCACTGTCCACACTCTCCCCTGGAACCAGGATACCCAGGCACATCAGATTGCCTATGAAGGCCAAGGACAAAAAGGAAGCCACCCACCCACCCACCCACCCACAGACCACACAATACTCAGAGCAGCACTAGTGACTCTTTTTTTGGTCTTTTTAGTAAGGCAATCGGGGTTAAGTGACTTGCCCCAGGTCACACAGCTGGTAAGTGTCAAGTGACTGAGGCCGGATTTGTACGCAGGTCCTCCTGCCTCCAAGGCTGGAGCTCTATCCACTGCACCACCTCGCTGCCCCCACAGCAGCACTTTTTGTAGTAACAAAGAACTGGGGGGAAAATGTCCATTGACTGGGAGAGAAGTTAAAGAAACTGTGGTACATGAATGGAACGGCACCAGAGCAAGCTGACAGAAACTACGACCGCGACGGACCCAGAGAAGCGAGGGAGGACTCGTGTGAACGGAAAGAAAGCTGGTCAGGGTGTCATCAAACCTGAATGCGTTCACCTGCTCACGGCCACGCTTGGCCCCAGAAAGGAGGTGAGGAGGTGCCCCTGCCACCTTCTCCGGTGGGGCGCTGGGCGAGGACTGCCACGCGTAACACCGGACTCCTTCCACGGGGGAAATCTGGTGGAGCCACAGTGACCCAAAACACAGCTACCTGGGAGGGCTCAGGGAGGGGCAGGTTAGGAAAGATCAGTGACAGGAAAACACCCAGAAAACATTAACAGAGAGCTACTTAAACAGGTAACTGTCAGGAAGCAAACACGGCCCATGCCACTGGAAAAAATTCTCCAAGAGTTCATTTTCTTCTTCGGGGGGCACATTTTACTTTACTTCCTGTAGCAATGAACACCAATGGAGCCCCAGCTGCCGGAGGCCCAAAAGCAGGCACCTCGAGTGTGAACGCTTCAAGGCCCCTGCGCAGCCCTGTAAACTTGCAGCGGAATCGACACAGCCGGGGGACGGGGGCCACAGACCTCCAGCCAATCCAGGACCAGAAACGCTTCCAAGCACCGGTGGCCAATTTCAGTACCCTGTCTTCTTTCAACATCCCAGAGGCAGAGGGTGGAGAGATATTTACCTGGCCCTTAGCTTGATATGTTACTATGCAGATGGTAAGAAGCAAGGTTCTGCCAGCTAGGCACCTAGGATGGCACTATGGATGAAGCATGGGGCCTGGAGGCAAGAAGATCCAAGTTCAAATCCTGCCTCAGATACTAGCTGTGTGACCCAGGGCAAGTCACTTAACCTCTGTCTGCCTCAGCTGCCTCTTCTGTAGAATGGGGACAATAATAGCACATGGATCATGAGGACAAAATGAGACAATATCTGTAAAGCATTTTGCAAACCCTGAAGAGCTATATAAATACTGGCTATCATTATCATTGCTATTACCTTAGACAGCAATTCCAAAACTTCCTTTGGCATTTAAAAAATGAAACCAGGGTACAACTCACATTTAAAAAAAAAACTAGAAAATTTGAAAAGTGCTGAATACATGATGGATAAAGTAATTAATAATAATAAAATAATACCCTCAATGCCAAGATGGGGCAGAGCTAATGTCCTCTGGCATTTCTATAGTAGGGACCATGGGATTTGCAAGGCCTCCTGATTATGGTGGGGTGGGTGAGGAAATGGGGGAAAAAGGGGGAGGGAATGTTCCTTCCTTTCTTTTTCTAAAAAATGAGATATATATAAAGCATAAAGTTTGACCACAGGCCCTTCCCTCCCCCCTACCCCACCCCACTCCAAGAAAGAGGGGAAGCGTATAACAGGATAAACATCAGCAGTGATTGGCTGAAAAATGCGGACTAGTGAGGAAATGTGACAGCAAGATGGTTGCAGGGAGAAATCAGGGTAGGAAGGTGTCAACTTGGCGAAAAGGAAAAAGAGGAAGGAAGAGAGGACGACTGAGCAAGCAGAGTGTGGGGGATGGGGGAGAGGCGGCAGCTCAGGGCCTCAAACCACTGGGCCCAGATGTGAACGGAGCCCTGTGAGATGGCAGGCTGACCCAGCGGCCTCGGAGCGCCCTCCCAGCCCTGCATCTGTGATCCCACAGCGACAGGAAGTCGGGAGCGATACTTACAACGGCAAACTCATCTCTGTCCAGCATTCCATCGTGGTCAATATCACTTAACTCCCAAACCTAAAACAAACCCCACAAAGCTGATTTAGGTTCTCTCAATTCAATACTAAATACATAAACAGCAAAAGCTCAGCTGATGAATCAATATTAATAATGAGCTTGCTAACACCTCTAGAGCACTTGGCAATGGGCAAAGTTCCCAGCATGCCCACAACCCCTATCCCATGTGATCTTCCCAGAAGTTCTGGGGCAGGGGCAGAACCTGTGGCCCAGGATGCTAAGGGGCTTGACAGCCGAGGTCACAGGACTCGGGTGAGCCAGGCCTTGGAGAAAAATTATGCTCTGTAACTATGTGATCACTGCTTCAAAGTGAACAATTCCTAACACCATGAAGCTGAGCAATTAGAAAATGTTTGTTGTTTTAAAATAGCAATTGCTATAGAAAATATTTTTATGAAACATGTCCTAATAAGTACTGCCTTAAAAACTAACAGAAAGTTGGAGAATTTAGTTCAAAAATGCTACTTAAAAGTAATCTCTACCAGAATAAACCCTGCATCAAAAACTCAAAGGAAATCTTCAAATCCTAGGCAACAAATGTTCAGTGCAGTGAATAAGAAAGAAACTACTTGGGAGGTTCACGTGTGATGATTAATGTTTATAAAAATGAGCTACAACACTGAGAAATGCTGATACTAACTATGAAAATTATCTACAATCAAGCCAGACCGTGAAAATTTCAAAGTGAGAGATGGATATGATACAAAGATATATAAAAACATGAAAAACTTAGCAGGATGATTTTAACTGTGCAATGTCTTAAATTTAATGGCAGGTGATGGTCAAACACTAACAAACCAACAGCTGCACTTCACAACCCATCAATTCCCAAGCTCCAGCACAAAGCGCTCCCTATTTATTTTGACAGATATCGTGAAGACATCCTTACTCTCCCAAGGATATCCACAGGCAGCTTGGAGTTGAGCAGCACCGGCTTCACCTTCTCGCCAGATAATAATCCACTCACAGGGTTAAGGCTGTCAAAAATTGAATCATATTTGGCCTTCTCTTCCGACTATAATATTGAAAAGAGTGAAGGTTAAAGATGATTAAAATCACAGATAATATAGAGAAAATTATTCCCTGACCAAAAGATTAGAGAAAAAAAGGCTGCCATTCAATTTTTTAAACATTACAGAGAATATATAAAAATCCCATTTTTATACTGAGCAGAACAACAGTTGTGATTGAATTCTTGGAGACTCCCAGAAGTCCTAATTGTTCCCTGGCTGTGACACCCTCCTCACCACTCATTCCATTTCCGGAGAAAGCCACAGCCGGCCGGTGCTAGAAGGAACCTGCCTGATCTTTCAGAGTGAGAGCCGAGGCCCAGGGAGACTTCTTGCCCAGGCAGTACAGCTGACGAGGGACACCAATGCCTTGCCAAGTTCTTTGAAATTAAAAGAAATCGCTGCCTTACACATTAAACAGGACATGTCTGTTGTCCCTCTGAACGCGAACCCACCATCTAGTAACATGAAAGTCAACCTATGTAAATATCATCTGAACAAGAGATCAAAGAATGTGGTTCCTCATTTTCCTAAGTCTGTCAAAGCTATACACCCGGGGCCTTACAGACTGTCAATACCCCCTATCTGGTCAATTCAATGTTTGAAATTAACCACCCAACTAAAAACACAAGGATGATTTTTTAAAATATTTTACCAAGACCAAAAAGAATATCTGAGACACAAAATCAATTTGATGGCCTCAACCAGTAACTACTTGGTGAAGCATTCATCTCTAAAACACAAATGGCATCTGTTTCCCCAGAAATCTTCCCTTTAAAATGGCCAATTGAGAACTTAAAAGTGCCAGAGGCTCAGGGCAGTCCGGCCCCATCAATTTTACAAGAAGAAAGGTCTAAACCCAGGGGTTCAGTTACGAGGACATCTCAGATCGAGCAGCTGGACATTTAATACTGGACCCAGCAAGCCCCAGTGTTCACTGGCTAAATACGAAATCAAGCTTCTGGATGGTAACTGGCCTTCGGAAGCCAAAGGCTCACCGCAAGTGCTGGCACACTCACCCACCTTGAGAGGGCCCCGAGGACACTTACTTTGATAGCCCACGGCAGCTCGGGTGATGCTGGTCCGCTGAGCAGCAACGGGCTGCTTGAATCACGCTACAACAGAAAACATGATGCTTTCAAACACTGAGTTTTTGTCTGTTTGCCCATCCTCGTGCCAAGGTCGGGGGGAGGGAGGAGGGTATTTGGTAGTTAAATCAAAACATTCAAAATCTGAAACATTTGCTGAATTACTCTTTTTCATTTTTGCATATGTGAATACGGAGTACTTTGTTATAGATTGTAGGCTTAGCTAAATAATAATGATAAAACAAGCCCTCAGAACTCATTCTACTGATTTAAAAATTCTAGTCCAATGCTTTGACAGGGTAATGTTTACCACATTCAACCACTGTGGAAATACAGGCTAGATCATTAAAACTGACATGAAGAAAAATCTATAGATAACAAATCTCTAGACACAAAAAATTTTCCGGCCCCAGCTTATGACTGGCTTACTTCAAGTAGTAATCAATACAACCACATTCTAGGTCTAGCAGCAGAGTGGACAGGCCCTCAGACCTCACCACGACAAGGCCAAGGTCATGTTAACAGTCCCTTCCCACAACTGCTGCTGACCAGCTCTGGACAGGCAGTTTTGCTAGGAAGCTGTGGTCTGAGGATGCACCATCCTGTCTCTCCTCCTTCCTGGGGCCAGGTTCCTGTCCTTTTCCAGGGTGGTCCTGAGATGGCAAGCATGCTCAGTCCAGAGCCTGACCCAGGCTAGAAGCCTAAAAGGCAAAGCCCAAAAGAGCCTAGGCTTCCCTCGCCCAGGGAAGGGCCTATCATGGGGAGCACTCGGACACGGGGACACGGACACACACACACACACACACACACACACACACACACACACCACAGAAATGGCCATTCTTGAAAATGACTGGGACCCAGCATTTCCTGGTCAGCCAGCTCATGTCCTTACTCTGCAGAACACACAGTAGGCTCCTCTTCTAGCCCACAAGCCTCAGGAGTAACTAGCCTAGAATGTGCTAGAGAGGAGATAACTTCACCAAGCACACAGATTTTAAATATGACTTTTCTTACAAATCGAGGTGGAGGGACAGCCAAATGAAGGCTGCTCAGGGACACATCCAGTCCATTTTGTGCACAGGCCACGAGTCTCAAAGCAACAAAGAATTCCTGAGGAGACAAAGGTCAAGATTCAATATGGAACCCAACACCAGACTGCTTAGTCACTGTTCGTCCATAGTTTGTGGGTCACTGTGGATATATTCTAGGGTATTCTGGGGCAAGGGGGAAGTAATTCATTCATCTGAAGATTCCATTAAAACAAATACTTCATTTGTCCTCACTAATGATCCAATTACTTACAGTTATACTGCAGGCAAACTAGCACACCTTCAGTTGAGAGGGGCGCTGAGCCTCCTCGGGGCCCAGGACGATGCCAGCAGGCGCTTCACCAACATTCATTACGTCGAATATCAGAAAAGCAGTGTGGGGGCCTAAAACCTGGGGCTGGAAGGGAGGCACCGAGGCGTTCCACAGAGGCAGAAGGGTGTGGGAGGACATTCAGACGACTTGCTCGGGCCTGGGGCAAGGCCCCTGGCCTCCTAGAGCCCTGGTTTCCTACCTGGAGTACCCGTCACACCAGGTTATTGTGATCAAACAGGAGACTGTAAGTAAACTGCTATTAGGAGGATCATTTCTCAGTGTCACACAGGACTGATCCAAGGAGAGTCAGGACTGGAACTCTGGTCCCCCATTTCCCTCCCAACCCAGGGTTCTCCCCACTCTCCTGTCCAGAACCAGCAAGGTCAGAGGGCATAATCTGCTAACAACAACTCATGGCTGACAAGGGACTGTCCATAACCTTGTGCCATCCCAGTGTCAGTAGACACATGTCACTGTCCCAACAAGACAGAGATGCATGGGGAGTTGCCCATGACCACCCAGCCCTGCAGAGAGAAAAGGGATCCCTCCCCCAAATGTGCCTCCCCACTTGTGCCAGACCCTCATCCATAAAATGGAAGAGCAGGACTTAACAGGAAGAATTGGGCAGGCAGAGCCTCCATCCCGCTAACCCTACTCTGACGCTCAAGTCCTGAGGACTCGACCATCCAATGAGGAAGACACCCAGCCTTCAGACCCTTCAGAAGCCAAAGCTAAACAGAGATCGGCCTGAAGTTGTCATTAGGCAGCTGAATAGCCTGGATAGAAGACTGAACACAGAGTCAGGAAGACCTGAATTCAAATCCCGCCTTAGACACTTACTAAACTGGGTGAGCTTGGGAAAGTCATCAGCCTCTGTCAGCCTCAGTTTTCTCATCTATAAAATGAGGGTGATAACAGCACCTCCCTCCCAGGGTGGTTCTGAGGATCTAAAGTGACTGTCTGTGAAGTACTCTGCAAATCTTCAGGCTATGCCAATGCCAGCTGACACTCAAGCAGGATCATGAGGACAGGTGTTAAGTCTCCTATCTGATGCCCAACTTGGCATGCAGCAAACTCCTCACCCATGATGGAAGGCTTCCTTTACAATGAAAGGTCTTGCCAATTCATGCAGAGGCATAGAATTTCCCCTCTGCCTCTGCCTCATCAATGCTGGGAACTCCCAGATGAGCAAGCTCCCTCCACCAAGGCAAGGCAGCCTGCACAGCCTCAGAGAGTTGTCAAGAGCACAAGCAGGGTGAGGTCCCAGAGTCTCTGGGCCAGTGTGTGTCCAAGGTGAGACTCGAACCCAATCCAAACATAACCTCCCCAACTGTCCCCTTTTGTCCTTCATCCTTGACAGTGGCCCAGCCATCACTGATTCCTGTTTTTTGAGGACCTAGGGACAAGAGCTCAGCAAGGGTCACGAGGTGCAGGAAGAAATGCAGTCAAACGCTTTACTAAAATCTGGGGCCCAACTCTTCAGACAAACTACTCTCCAGGCCCCAGTTTTTTGTTTTGTTTGTTTTGGAGGCAGTCAGGGTTAAGTGACTTGCCCAGGGTCACAGCTAATAAGTATCTGAGTCCAGATTTGAACTCAGGTCCTCCTGACTGGTGCCCTAGCCACCATGCCACCTACCTGTCCCAACCCCAGTGTTTCATCTGTAAAACACAGCGGCAAGACTGGGTGGTATGTAAGCCCCTTCAGGCTTTAAAAGCCTTTCAACCAGATAACTTCTCAGAGCTTCACTTTTCTCATCTGTAAAATGGGGCTAGTACTACCTGGCACTACCCACTGCATTGATGAAGAGAACATGCTGAAAGCCTTCTGACAGCAGAGAAGTGTGAGCTATGACCACAGACATGCACAGGGCACAGGCAAAAGGGAAAACAAGACAGGCATCTAACTCTGCCTGCTTTCTCATAATATCTGGTCACCAACTGCTGACCTGCCCAAGGGGTTAATGAATGAGCTTCACATTAACGAGCCTGGACTGGTTACAGCAAGCCCTGCCACAAAGCCGGGTGGCCAACGAGGGGAAGGAGCTAGGCAGCAAGAAAACCTGCCTGACCCTGCGAGCTGTCCCAAAGGAGCCTGCCCACCTCTGGCAGAGGTCTGGGGTACACACGGTGCCCCAACTGTCCTCTGAGGTCAGAGATAGTGAGAATTGCTGTGTCCGCTGCACATGACGGTGCCAAGAGCTGGACATCTGCCCACTCAACACAATGCCTGGGTGAGATTTCGCCACACAGGTGAGAGAGAGAGATTTAAGCTAGTGAATAAAAATCATTTTCCCCCCATCTCTCACAATTACATGCACTGACAGGGCTGCTATGTAAGGATTACCAACCTCATTGACCAACTGAGGTTCCAGGGAATGAAGTGACTCACCCAAGGCCACACAATTACCAAGTGTCTGTTGGCCAGGGCCAGACCCTGAGCTCAATGGACCTAATCCTACCACGTGGTAGGAGAGCCAGGTCACACCCTGATGCTGAGCCATGTTCATCTCTGCTCAGGGAACGTTGTCCTCCTGGCCCTCCCTCCCCGGAGGGCTGGACAGAGAGGACACATTCATGGGGAAAACAGCCAGGGGTATGAAACCAGGGATCTGTTTGGAAGGGCATCAAACTGAACCTTCACACCTCTAGTGCACATCTTCCCTGCCTACTCTGACATCAGAATCCTAAGCACAGGTGGGGTTTCTATGTGTGGTGCCATCAGGCAGGGAAGGTCCTGGGGTGGACATGCCTTTCCTTCTAGCCCAGCAGGTCTCCATGAGGGGCTAAAGATGGGAAAAATAAGAAATAACTAAGAGAGAGAAGGGGATAGAATTAAGAGGGTTGGAAAAGGCTTCCTATAGGAGATGGGTTTTAGTTGGGACTTAAAGGAAGCCAGGGAAGCCAGGAGGCAGAAATGAGAGGGTGGAGGCGGGGGGGGGGGCGGACCTGGGGACCCTCAGAGATAGAAACTCACAGCAAATGTCAAACATGGGCCGTGCCGCCAGGCATCCTCAGACACTCAGGACACCCAAATCAGAGCAATATTCAGACCACTGCTCCCAGCTTTAGAGCTATTCTGGCCTGTTTGGAGTGAGTTTTACCCTCTAAGCTAGAAAACCAAAAAAAGTTACAGGCCTGAGTAATTGAAGCAGCTCCAGGTAGTACAGTGGATATAGAGCTGGGCCTGGAGGCTGGAAGACCCGAGTTCAAATTTGGCCTCAGGGGGCAGCTAGGTTGAGCAGTGGATAGAGCACCGGCCCTGGATTCAGAAGGACCTGAGTTCAAATCTGACCTCAGACACCTAAGACTTACTAGTTGTGTGACCCTGGGCAAGTCACTTAACCCCACTGCTTGGGAAGGGAAGGGAAGGGAAGGGAAGGGAAGGGAAGGGAAGGGAAGGGAAGGGAAGGGAAGGGAAGGGAAGGGAAGGGAAGGGAAGGGAAGGGAAGGGAAGGGAAGGGAAGGGAGGGAAGGGAAGGAAGGGAAGGGAAGGGAAGGGAAGGAAGGGAAGGGAAGGGAAGGGAAGGGAAGGGAAGGGAAGGGAAGGGAAGGAAGGGAAGGGAAGGGAAGGAGGAAGGGAAGGGAAGGGAAGGAAGGGAAGGGAAGGGAAGGGAAGGGAAGGGAAGGGAAGGGAAGGGAGGAAGGGAAGGGAAGGAAGGGAAGGGAAGGGAAGGGAAGGGAAGGGAAGGGAAGGGAAGGAAGGGAAGGGAAGGGAAGGGAAGGGAAGGAAGGGAAGGGAAGGAAGGGAAGGGAAGGGGGAAGGGAAGGGAAGAGAAGAAAACCAAAATTTGGCCTCAGATACTTCCTAGCTGTGTGACCCTGGGCAAGTCACTTAATGTCTGCCTCAGTTTCCTCAACCGAAAACTGAGATAATAACAGCACCTACTTCACAGTTTTGTCTGAGAAGCAAACGAGATAATCATTTGTAAAGCACTTAACACATGTAAATGATTGCTCCCTTGTTCCCTTCCCCTTTTGAGAGATCAGAGCTCAAACTTAATGAATTTCATTGGATGTGGGCTCATGAAACACCTCATGAATCAACAAGACACATCCAGGCACGGGCACGTAGGGCACATACAGATACATCGATACGCACAGATCTATGTGCCTGTGATCCTAACTTTAAGCCCTGCTGTGAAGGTGTCCAAAGAGAGATGGAGAAGTGACAACAACCAGAACTTTGTGGGAACCTGCTCCCGGGACTCTGTTTTCTTCCCCTCAGGAGAGTAGGGTGGAGGCTGCTCCTCTGGTTTGGGATCCCCAGCACCCAGGACAGTGCCTGGAACTTGGTGAAATTCAAGAGTTTAACGTGGGAAATGTTCATTTTGGGGTTTTCTTTTCACAAGCACCTGTCAGAAAAGCTCTGGTTACATTCTCAGTTCTATTTCCTGTCTCCCCTTTGTAGGCCAACTGGCCTGACAGCTGATCTCCTCAGGTAATGCTTCAGCAGGTCCTGCCTCTGGGCCTTTGCATGCGTTTGCCCCCCGGGTTTGAGATGTGCTCCATGCCCTGCTCAACTCTGCCTGCAGAATCCCTGGCTTCCTTCCAAGGACAACTGAGGTAACACCTCTCTCCTTCCTGAAATGACCTGGTATTTTTCTGCACACACATACAGCTCCCCAGTGGATGGGTGCTGCATAAGGGCAGCATTGGTGATTTCATCTGTTCAGGGAACTCTCAGTACAGAAACAATTCCCTCAACAATTCACCTCTAACTTGGTGTCTCAAAGAGTTGCACTAGCTAAGAGGCTAAGGCATTGCCCAAGAGCACACAGCCAGCATCCATTGATGGTAGGGCTTGAACCTAGGCCCCTTGCATTCAACGTGCCATGGACCTTGGCGTTAGTGTTGAGGTGTTTACTACTTGTTGAAGTGAATTCAACTGACAGCTAGCTGAAGACTTAACCATGAAACAAAGGACCAGTCTAAGCTCTCTCATAAGTATGGTTCTCTGAAGGCTCAGAAAACATCTTACCTGCTTGTTCAGGATACCTTTGCCATCTGTATCCGCCAAAGTCCCAGATCTGAATTCAAAAACAAAAACCATAGCACATGTTACCCCTCAAGTACTGCAGATACACATATTTTCATCAGGTGTGTCTGTGCTCCCCATCTGCCTGTCCATTCCATGTGCTCCAAGTCAACTCCAGCTAATGGATATCAGTTTTTTATCAAGAAGGTTTCAGTGTTTTCCTGTAAGTCAAAGTTAACTTTGCTGTGTTTTCAATGGAGCAGCTCAAATTGTGTTACTGCTGTCAGGGACCTCCCAGCACCTTGGAGAGCTCACACCCAAGGGAAGCAGCCTTCCCACTGTCACAGCTTCCCACAAACTAGGCCCCATTTACTAGGTTTTCTCCTCCTCTTCCACAGAAGAGAACAGGGGACAAAACCAAACAGAAGAGGAGTAGTGATCTCTCTGCTCCCTGAGGTCAATGCTTCAGCACTCCAATAAGCCCTTTTCATAGATTATTTCATATGTTGCCTGTTTACCACTGATGCCTACCAGACTTAGCGTTCTCTGAGGGCAGCAGGTCTTTTGTCCTTTCCCCATGCCTACACAGGCGATGAATGTTTATGCAACTGAATTACTTACATGTGATCACTCTATACAAAGGGCTGAGGGCATGTATGTGATACGTGCTTAAGAAATGGCTGCTTGACTTCTAGGGCTGTATCCCAAAGAGATCATGCAAACGGGAAAAGGACCCACATGTACAAAAATATTTACAGCAGCTCTTTCTGTGGTGGCAAAAAATTGGAAATTGATGGGATGCCCATCAATTGGGGAATAGCTGAACAAGTTGTGGTATATGAAAGTAATGGAATACTACTGTGCTATAAGAAATGATAAGCAGGCAGACTTCAGAAAAACCTGGAAAGACTTGTATCGTCTGATGCTGAGTGAAGTGAGCAGGATCAGGAGAACATTGTACACAGTAACAGCCACGTTGTGCAAAGACATATATTGATAAACTTAACCCTTCCCAGCAACACAAGGATCTAAGACATCTCCAAAGGCCTCATGACAAAAAATGCTATCCACATCCAAAGAAAAAACTTATGGAGTTTGACTGCAGATCTAAGCATACTATTTGCTATTGTTTTTTCTTCTGTTGAGTTTTGTTTCCTCTTTCTGGTGGTTCCTCCTATTGGTTCTAATTCTTACAACATCACTAATGTGAAAATATGTTTAACAGGAATGTATATGTAGAGTCTATATCAGATTACACACCATCTTGGGGAGGGAAGGGCAGGAAAATTTAAAACTCAAAAGCTTATGGAAGTGATTGTTGATAAATTGAGATAAATTTAAAAAAGAAAAAGAAAAAAAAGAAATGGCTGCTTGCTCTTTTCATGGCAGCAAATAATTGGAAGTTGAGGGGATGCCCATCAATTGGGAAATGGATAAATGAGCTGTGGTATATGATTGTGATGGAACGTTATCATGCTATAAGAAATGACAAAACAGGATGGTTTCAGAAAAACCTGGGAATATTTATATGAACTGATACAAAGTGAAGTGAGCAGAACCAGGAGAACACTGTACACAGTAACAGCAATGATCATCAACTGCGAATGACTTGGCTACTCTGATCAAGACAATGATCCAAGGACATGAAAAATGCTATCCCCCTCTAGAAAGAGAACTGATGAACTCTGCATGCAGACCGAAGAAGACTGTTTTCACTTTCCTTCTACTTCTTGCTTTTTGGTGTGTGTGTCTTCTTTTGCAACATGACTAATATGGAAATATGCTTTGCATGACTTCACATGTATAATCAATAACATATTACTTAACTTCTCAAGGGGTGGGGGAGAGCTGGGGGGGACAGAGGGAATTTGGAACCTGAAATTTTAAAAAATGAATGTTAAAATGTTTTAACATATAATTGAGAAACAGTTAATGAAATAAATAAAAATATACTTTTAAAAATAGCTGATGAGCAAATTAATCTAACATTCATTAGAATTCTGCCAGGCCTCACCCTGAGGGAGACACCGTCCTTCACTGACCCAAGGCCCTTGGTTTCACCAAGCTCCCAGTCTTTAGAGGTGGGATGTGGAAGTGCCTTAATCACATGTGATGAGTCTATGCAGAGCGAGAAGCTGAGTAAGAAGGAGGAGGAGGGAAGGTCATGATCAGTTCAGGAGGAGGGGCAGGAATCAGGACGGGCTTCCTAGAACTGGAGTAGATCTGCAAAGATGGGCAGGAATTCCAAAGACACAAGGGGGGCAAATACATTCCACAAACAGCGTGAGTACACCAAAAAATCTGGCTAGCAGCAGGGCTCTGAGATGGATTTCAAAGCCCAAAAAGCCACTGACTTGGGATGGGAACCAGCCCCACCAGGTATCTCTGCTGCCCAGCGCTCAGGTCTAAACCTCGGCTCTGCCATCCAGGTGACTGAGGCAGGCTCCATTTCACTCTACAGCACTGACAGCCACCCCACCAAATGGACAGGGACAGAAGTCTAATAACTGGTCAAGTTGTCCTACCTTTCCAAGGATCAGGTCTGGAAGACCCGATTTTTTCAGAAAAGCTGCAGCATCTGATGCCAGCACCCTTCCAACATTGTTTGTGTCTACCTGAAAAGAGACAAACAGATGTAAGCAGCACATAGAGCAAGCTGGAACGGGGATCTGTATGGGCCTCAAGTTAGGGTACAAAGCATATTACTCCCCAGGCACCTGCTGATGCGGGGGCAAAGGGAGGGCGGGGAGAAGCAGCTGCCATTGACAGACAGAGAAACTGAGGAACCAGAGAATGAAAGTGGCTAGGAACCTAGCATTTACATCTGGAAGAGAGTTCCACCTCATTAACTGTGACTCAGAGAGATTCATGGATCTGTCCATGATCTCCCCATGGCACCATAGCTCTGCCCCAGAAGCCAGACAGGAAACACCATGGAAGATGGCGACATCTTCACACACATGACAGCTCTTCATATACTGGAAGTCAGTGGTCACATCCCTCATCCTCCCCTCTCATCTCCTCCAGCTGATCTCTTCCCACATTTCTTCAGCCAGCCTCCCATCACCTGGTCTCAGGTTCTCTCACCCATTAGAGTCATGACAGGCCCTGCCTTGGCTACGTCCTTCTACGATGAAGTGCCCAGAACAAAACACAGGCCTCAGGAGGTGTGTCACCTACCCCAGCATGGGCACTAGGTTTCTGTGAAGATAGTTACAGGGGAAATAGGATTGCTGGCTGCATTGCTGCAAAATGCTGACTCACAAGGAGCTTGCAGGCAACTACAAAACTTACAGATTTTTCTCACAGGAATTGTTCTTCTAAGCCTCCCTAAGAGGTGGCTGGTGACACAATGGCTAAAGAGCTGGGCCTGTCAGGAAGACTTGAGTTCAAATTCAGCCTCAGATATTTCCTAGCTGTGTGACCCTGGGTAAGTCATTTAATTTCTGTTTGCCTCAGTTTCCTCAATCATAAAATGAGGATAATAACAGCATCCACCTCCTAGGGTTGTTGTGAGGATCCAATGAGCACATTGCCTGGCGCATGACAGGCACTTAATCCTTACTCCCTTCCTTCCTCATCCCTCCTCTTGTAATTTAACCCAAGTACATGACTATATTTCTCCTTACTAGAATTTCATCCTCACATCAGCCCATCACTCTAGGCCATAAAGATGTTTGGGGATCCTGTGCGCCAACACATTACCTCTCCTCAGCTTTGTGTCCTCTGCAAACCAGATAAACATAACATGTATAACACAACCTTGGACCCAGTGCCCTAAGCCACGTGCCCTGGCCCCGACTCCAGCTTGGCCCCCAGAGTCGCCATCGAGGGAAGCAACTCAACAGAAAACAATGAGGGTGCCATCGGACTTGATTATATACCTCAAGATAATTCTTCCCTAGGTCAGGAAAACGCTGTTGATCAAGATTGATGACAGATGGCCCTAAGTATGGTCAGTCCTAAGATGGCTCTGGGCCTCTAAGGTGGGCATTCCCTCACAGCTGTACAACTACGGGCTCTTTCCTTCCAACAGAGGCAGAAAGTAGAGATGTTGTCCTGCTTTACAGATGAGAAAAAGGAGGCTGTGTCAACCTGGTCAGGTCACAACCTGAGTCAGAATTCCCACAGCTATAAAAGTAAGTTTGCTCTTACATTTAAAGCATTCTTCATTTGGAAGTCACTATTAAGTGACTTGACCAAGGTCACAAAGCTAATAAAGAGAAGGGCAGGGGATGCAATCCAGTTCTCTGGGTCAGAAATCTGGTAGTTGAATTATGCAAAAAGAAAAAAAAGAGCTGCTAGTTGATAATCCTCCAAGTTGGCACTTATAATGAAATTCAACCACAGAGGCAATGTTCACCTTGTACATAACACTGGAATCAGGCCTCACTCAAAAGGAACCAGGAAGAAAATGAGGTAGGGGGATGGTAAGGGTAGAGAGAGGGTAGAAGAGCAACGGTATATAATTAAGAAAATATACTACTCTCGTGAAGCAATGACTGGGTGGGACAGGCACAAGAAGGACATCTGGGTGAAGATCAGCAGAAGGAGAGACAGAAGCCTTATTGTCACGGTAATGGAAAAGACAAAGAAGCTGCTAGAAATCACTGAGCCCAAGGCTGGCGCCAAGGTGCAGTAGAGGAGGGCTGAGGGACTCAGTTATCAGGGTGACTACTGGGGCACACTCCCTCCCTCGTTCACTTTCTCTTATGCCCAAGCAGGACACCTTAGGAAACCAAAGTTAGGTTCACTTCCTTCCCCAGAAGGTGGAGGCACCCACAAGAGGTAGAGATTCCAGACCTGATTGTCAACGACAAGGAAGAACTGGTTGATGAAGTAAAAACAATAGGAACCTTGTTGGGAAGAAACCACTCTATTTTGGAATTGGTGAAAGAAAAAGGACATGCATCTGAGGTTTCAGGAGATCACATTTCAAAGGGTTCAGAAAAAGGACAAGATCCCTGGGACTAAAATTCTTGAGATGGAAAAAGAAAAAATGCTGATGACTAAAAGGAGCCATTAAAGACTCCAATGGATAAATCTGCAAAAGTCCCGCACAGAAGAATACAATAATGGGCAGTGAATTCAAAAGTGGGGCGCGAGCCTGCAAGGCCAGTGCAAGGGACCCCAGAGCTCTGGAGAACAGACAGCCCCGCCGCCCTCCTTCTCTTCTGCCAGCCAACGACACGAGTCTCCACACTCCAAGGAGAACAGAGGGAGCTCGTGGGAAGGTGACGTGGCCCTGTGACGGGATAAAGTTTCTGCAGGAGGTCAAGAAGACCTGAATTCAGATCCTGCCTCTGACACTTGTTAACAGCTGTGTGACCCTAAGAAGGTCACTTGAAGTCTCCAAGGTCCCAGCTCTCTCATTTGCCAAACGGGGAAGTTTTTGAGAGTTGTTAAACTTCTTGTCTCTCCCGCACACAGAAGTGAGGCCCAAATAAGACTTTGTCAGTCACTCTGTAAACCTCGCCACAGTAGCTGAATTATCATCCTCCTCCTCGTTGTTATTAAGCTGAGAAGTGAGACAGCCCTGCTCCCCTGGATGGGTTCAAGTCACCAGGCCCAAATGAACCATGACCTAGGTCAGGAAACACAGGGAGGCACAATTGCTGAGCCACCACGTGACCTAGGAAAGGTCAGAAAGGTCAGGAGATGTCCTGCAGGGCTGGACGAGGGCAAATGTCATCTCAATGTTCAAAAGACCAAAATGAAGGCAAACAAGCTCTAGTATAGAGCAGCGAGCGTGACTTAACACTTCCAGCAACATCCTAGAGCCTAGATGAAGGTGTTCACTAGGGAACACGTTGAACAGGAAGAAGTGACTAGTGGAAGCCAGCCCCAGGACCTCCTGGGCAGGATGGCAGAGGAGGGGGTGTACTTCGCCCTCCTTTTGGCTCCCACAGGCACCATCGCAGTTTACCTGTGCTTTCTCTCTCACAAAGGATGGTTTGATACCAGGGGATTGGGAGGTGGGGGGCTGTAATAAAATTTAATTTAAAGAAAGAAGGCAGGGAAAGGAAGCAGGGGTCACAAAGAAGCTTCATGGCTTCACCAGGAACAGGTCCTGCCGGGGGAGTGGGATGCTGCCTGACATGTTAGACACCATCACCCTCAGCAAGTCCTGTAGTCTGTGATGAGGAAGACTTCGACGGGGGCGGGAAATATCAGGAAATGACTGTGGTATTAAGAAACCAAAGACATCAAGAAGAGAAAGAGAGAGGAAGAGTGGCCTTTAGAAAAAGCTGTGTAAGAGAAATGCACACTTGTGCAATCCTCTTCCAGTCTTCTTTGGATATGGAAAAATTCATGTTTGTTGATGACTGTCAAGTTCAAAATTAAAAAAAAAAATTTAAGGGGAAGAGAAAGAGGGAAACATAGAAAAGCCCATGTCAGACTAACACATCGTGTCCTTTTCTGACAGTTACCAGACCGACAGACCTAGGAAATGTGGGTATGGTTTACTCAGATTTCATTTCAGCCGAACACGTGGCAGGCTGTGGCACACACATCAGAGGAGAGATGTGGCACACACATCAGAGGAGAGCACAGGGAGGTAGGTAGGTTCTAAAGTGGCTGAACGGCAGGACTGACCACGGCAGTCATTAACAACTCCATGGTAGGAGTGACCTTCAGCCAGTACTTAAGCGCCCTGGGCCTCCATCTCCTCGTCTGTAATATGTGGGGTGCCTTCTGGCCCTCAGTCTATGGTCCAATGACCCTGAGATCAGAGCATGTGCACTTTCATTTTGTAAAACACCAAAACTCAGGACAAGCAAAAACAAGCCTGGGGACACCTTGGAGTGAAACCTAGAGGAGCGGGCCTCCATGGAGACTGGCAGCAGTGCCCCAAGACGCAGAAAGGGACCCATCCGTCCACGTCTCTGTTACAGTTCAATTTAACAAACCATTCCCAGGCATCCCTGTGCACAGCCCTGCACCGGGCGCTGTGGGACAAAGACAAAGTCTTCATCCTCCAGCTGACATCCTCCTGAGGGCATACTTATACGAAGATGAGTAAATTACCCCATCATCTGGGAGAAAATACCAACAGCTTAGCGGTGGCACGGGAAGTCTGACAGCCAGACTCCGGTATCCGGGGGGGCAGAGTGCTCCACAAAGCAGCTCCAGCACCCTGGGAGGACAAGGAGCTGGAAAGGACCACAGGACTGCTGAGACCACCTTGGACAGAGACGACGGGCCCCACAAGAGCAGAGCATGATCCCCAGCAGCATTAACAGAGGTCTGTGATTCCATGACGAACCAAAAGAGCCACCAGGAGACGAGGCTGCCCCCCAGGCCTACGCTCTAATCTTCATTACATCCTGACGACAGCCATCAACAAACACGGAGGGCACCCTCCGGGAGGATCAGAGAAGGAAACACGCAGGTTCGCATGGATGGGGAGCGAGAGCAGGCCAGTTTCTCTGTTACACAGCTGAATGAATGACGCAGGGAATGCAAGATCCCAAAAGTCTTCATTTGGTTATTAAAAAAAAAGTTTTGGCTCACTAGAGCGAAACACTTCCTTCAAAGCTCCCACAAAGGCGTTTCTCATGCATGGGCTAAGATCATATGAGATTCCTTGACAAATGCAACTAGAGGAAGGTCT